TCGAAGGAGCCATCATCCTCTCCCCTCTGGGGCCTCGAAGACAAGTGTCGAGGGGTGGAGTATGCACATTGTTCAATCATTCGAATAGCCTCATTCCCTCTCCCCATTCTTTCAGTGTCGTATGGCTCTGTCTCAGTTACAGACCAACCCAAGTGGGTTGGCGGGTGGGCGTTTGGTAAGGTGCATACATCCAGGGATCTCACCGAGCTCACCTGGGCTCACCTGGGCTCTTGAATGAGGCGGGAAAATGGGCACTGTCTACTTCACCTTACCCATCTCTGTGTGTATTCTCCTGGGAAATTCTTGAGTGCACCTCCTTAAGGGGCTAGTGTGGGCTGCTCCTGCCTTCTCAAAAGACATCAACTTTTTTCGCCCTTCTTTCTCAAATCACCTGCAGCCCTTCCACCACTTGTACTTCCCACCTTCAACAACTTCCTTCCAGAGCTTCTCGGTCACTCAGCCTCTTCACCCTCTCATCGCCAGCCCAGAAATATTCCTCGAGTATTTCTACATTCTTCCACGCTGCCTTTCGGTTCATCCCACATCTCTTAAACGCAAAAACTATTCCCAATCCAATCGGCCTCGCCTGGTCACGATGACCGACTCAGGTAGCGCGAGCTCTGGCTCTGGACGCGGAGGCGTTTGTCTCGCCGAGCATTCACCCCAGTTTGCTGCGACCCGCGAGCCATTCCGGACGACCCCCAGCTCGTCTTCTGATAGCACCGTCCGCAATGCTAGATCACCTTCTGATGTCTTTGCCGCCGATCTTTCTAACCAAAATTCGCAGCTCAACCACAAGAATTACCAGTTGCCTCAGCCACCAAAGTTTCAGCCGACGAACCTCACTTCCGCCAAGAGTCAGGATCAGGGGAGCAACCAGAGACCAAGTCGTACCATCATCCAGAATCCTGCCCACTTCTCAACAGGAAAAGCATCTTTTCCCTCTGAAAGAACGGCATTTGCAACTCCAACTGGTCGTTCTGCTGTACAGCCAAACGCCTTTGGACATCGATCTGGCCCGTTGCCGTCTACCACATCTATCCGTGACTTCGAAATCACTCCCAATGCCAAGACTCCTGGTCATCACACTCCGGGTTCCTTGAATAACGATACTCGACGAATCCAACAGCATCCTGCCCCCGTTGAGAACAAGACAAAGCTCAAGCCAACTTCTGAACTTACAAAGACGAACAAGCTTATCGCAAAGATGGCTACTCACTGTCAGATTGATGGACCTTTGGCTGGCCCTCTCCGGGAGAGTCGCCGCTCCGAGCTGGCCAGAGACCATGTAAGTCACATAGTGCCTCAATTGGGGGCCTTCTTCCATATTAAGCTAGGCTTTTATCTCCCTGTTTTCATCCTCACCTACCTCCTTCAGTCTCTACTGTTTCGACTTTCCTTTATTGCTCCGGAACAAATTACTGACTTCGAGATGAAAGCCCGCTTGGATTCCCGCCCGGCAAGTTCAAGCCGGGATTATGACCACCCAGCAGGCGATCCGCCGCACTCCTGGCATTCCGGCCAACATTGCCAACGACCTTTGTGATGGCCTCCAGGTGTACTCGCAAAAGGTTAACGACATTCTCCGCCAGGCTGTCAATGAGGTCGCCGATATCAAAATCGATCTCGAGTACAACGACAAGGTTCTTTGCTCCAATAAACTGGAGGCCAGCATTATCTCCGAGGAGCGTGAGCAGCTCAAGCGTGATGTTGCTGAGATTCATCGCAAGTACGAGGAGTTGGAGGATCGTCTCGCGCGCTATCACGTGGAGCAGGAGAACCACAAGAACACGGTTCTCGAGTTCTTGGCCCGCCTCGATCCTCGCAACGATGAGGAGAATGACGACAAAGCGCAGATCGTTGCCGAGTTGCTTCAGGTACGTATCCATGATTCTTGATTTCTGGAAGATCGCTAATGTCACCAAAACAGACCCTCAAGGATTTCATGAACCGCCCCAGCTCCCGCTGGATGCACGGAGAGCGTGAGAACTCTTCCAAGGCTATCGCCATCCTCAGTACCGAGAGCATCGCCGCGCTCGAGAAGGAGAACCAGCCTCAGTCGGCTGAGCGTCTCCAGCAGTCTCAGGATGCACGTCGTGCTCCCGGGTCAGAATCTCATGAGATGGTCCCCACCTTGGACAATGCTCTGCAACCGTTCTACCACCAGCAATACATGCCGGGCTTTCCACCCGCTCAGAATGGTCCTTCCACTTCTTTCCCGGGCATGTACGGCCCTGTCCGTCGGTCTGGTGATAACCACACCGTGTCTTCCACGGGTTGGACGCGCGCATCTAGCGGCGCCCCTACTCAGTATACCGGCTCTTACCCGCAAACTAGAGACATTCAGAGTGGTTTCAACGGCGGATACCAGCATCCCAACGGCTTTGCGGGACCCAGCAACCATCGAGGCCAGTTCAACATGCCGTCTCGCCCTGGAACTGCCATGGGCCATCGCGGCTCGTTCCGTCCCAATGCTCCTGTGTTCCACCCGGGCATGTATGGCAACGCAGACAACAGTGGCTCCCACAACGATGCGTCCTACAACATGAGCTACGGTCCAGGGTCCAATGCTGGTTCTCGCCACAATTTCAACGGAGGCAGCACTCCTTTCCGCAGCCCGATCCCTCGTTCCGCTGGTCATTACGGTAACTTTGAAGGACCTGGTGATGGTTTTTCTCGCCCGTCTCCTCTAGTTCCTTCGGGGCGTCAGAGCTCCCATGGTTCCCAGTACGGCATGGGTTCGAACCACATGGGTTACAACAACGACTACTCAATGGTTCCACAGCGCACTCGTAGCCACGGACCCAATTCGTCCGGCAACAGCCACCACACGGCTAACATCCGTCAGCAAGGAGCTTTCAGTCCCGGTCCCTTTGGTCAGGGTGGTAATGGCCCCAGCCATGCAGTCACCAGCCCCTTGGCTCCCGGCAACGGCTTCAGTGAGGATGAAGGCGGCGACAATGAGCGCTATGCTCGTGCTCTTGAAGGCGTTTGGGGTCTCGCGCGGGGCTAGGTGCTCCAGTTTGCCTCGAACGTTGACCTTAGCATCTTGTCGCGCTCTAGCGATGCTGCCATCCTTCGTTACATGATGAAGCTCTATGCTCCCTTCAGCGAGCAGCAGGCGTGGTCTTACATTCGCCAGCACATGAACGACCCCATGAGCCGTGCTTGTCTCATCTCTCGCACCATGATCGATCTTCTTGTTAACCGGATCTTCACTTTTGAGGCCTGGGAGGGTTTCTCGGTTGATGCTGATCGCCAGCTGCGTGAGATTCGCCACGAGATGAATAACCTCCCTGGTAAGTTTGATCGCACACATCCCTCAATGTAGTACTATTACTAACTCATACAGCGGGTCAAGGCGGTGCTCTTCAGAGGTGCATTGATCGAGTTGCGTCCCTCGTCAACTCTTGCATCAACCATGAGCGCTACGACGCCTACCGCAACCACCGGATCGAGTACTTCCAGGCTGAGCTCCGCGAGATGCTCTCGCCGCTCTTGCTGCCCGAGTCTGAAGGCGGTCCCGACCTCGAGAGGGCCGACGAGGCGCTTCGCCAGATGTGCGAGAAGGCATGGTCCATCTCGGCGAAGATGTTTACCTCGCGATGGACTTTCGAGTTCCGCTTCCCCGATACAGGAGCGCGTTTCAACACCGGAACCATGGTTGGCATCGCGCCCAACATTGGTCCGCAGCTTCTACAGGCTGAGCATTGGCGCGTGCAGCTGGTAGTCACCCCCGTCATCACCGTCCGCAACGATACCGGCACTTCCATCTCGGTTGCCTCAATCACCAGCGCTCACGTCATCTGCATGAAGTAGTCGGCGGCCTTGCGCCAGGCCAACTTCGCTGCATTTTCACTCTGCGTTTTCTCTTCACCACTGAAGCTTTCTCTATATAACAATGAAGCTGATGTACGACTTACGATTCACGACACGTTTGCGATTTTGCTTTCTCCTGGTCTCTTCCCGAAGCTCTCCAACGGCAACCACAAACAGAAGAAAGCGAAGAAGAAGAAAAAGAGCGGTATTCCCAACTCCTTCAAGGTTGCCTTTCGAGAGCTTTCGTTCAGAGCCACCATCGCCACCATCATTGTTATTAGCAGGGCTCTCACCGATACCGAGAGAGCAGTGCCACCAACAGGCAAGGTTCTCAATACAGAGAGAAAGTGCCACCATAACCAGTACAGCACTGGGCGCGGTCTATGGGACCAAAGAAGACGCAAACAGCCTTCATGATCTTTGGGAATTCACAACTTGGACTTCCGTTCTCTCTCAACATGTTGGAGTATTTGGACATGCGTCCACAATTCCTTCAGCTCCATTGGGAACCAACTCGCGAGACCTTTGGAACATCTCAGAAAATCGGGGATGGATACACAGAAATTGGTTTCAAGGGTTGGCAGTTGCGACACAAAACGACAAAATCACAAAAAAATCATTTGCCTTTTCTTTCCTTTTTGTTTCCAGGGGGGAACGCCCTTGGCTAGCCACACTGATCACTGAAGTTTTCTAGCTAAATTTCGAGGAAAGATGTGTCTTGGCCGAGGGACTGGATCTGGCTCAGAGAAAATTGGCGATAGAAAAGTACAAAAAAAAATCGTAAAAGTCTTGTAAAAACTTTGGTTCCCTGAATGATGATGATAAGAAAACGTGAACCAGGCCTCCACGTAAGAGAGCTAGGCAGAGCTTCAGCCAGGTGCCCACCTGTGCCATAGCTGGCCAATTACACTGCAATGCCAAATTTGAAGGTAGACCAAATGGAGATTCGGGCTTAATCGAACCTATCGCATCACTAGCAATCTGAGAGGAATCTTGGTATGTTGCGATAATTCATTCATGGTAACACGCTCTACTGGCGCATTGATCTGTTCGGCATCAGCTGTGCCGTCTTCGTGTATACATTCAAGCAATGAAGACTAGGGTATTTGATCTTCATCTGTCGTGAGTCGGCCGTTTCCAACTCCATCCAACCCTCTATCCTAGGAACCAATCTATAACGTCTAGTCGGATGACTTGCGGAACTTGTTGACGACACGCTCGATACCGTCGCATCCCTTCTTCAGGGTCTCCATCTTGGGGCCGTAGGAGAAACGGACGAAGTGGTGGCAGGGGCTGTCGAAGAGATCACGACGTCTGGAGGGGTTCAGGTCGAAGAAGATACCAGGCACGACGATGACCTTCTCCTCAAGACAGGCCTGGAAGAAGTTGAGACCGTCGGCAATGGCCTCAGGGAGACCCTCAAGGTTGAGCCAGCTAGAGGATGTCAGTCTAGGCGCTTACCCACGTTCCTTTCAACGACAGCAACTTACAGGTAGAAAGTGGAGTCAGGGACGTATTTGATGATGAATCCCATTTCGCGGAGTCTGCGAACGACGTAGTCACGCTTGTCCTATTTACTTTATTAGAAAATTCCGAACTCAAACCCGCTCGCTTAATTGACTTACCCGGAAGTGCTTCTGCAGGGAGATCATCTCCGTCTTGACGAGAGTAGGGTCAAGCATGGGGATCGCAGCCTCCTGGAAGGGGTGGTTGGCACCACCGTCGAGGTAGCTACCGCAAGAGCCAATGCTAAAGTCGTGTCAGTGTCTCAGTTCCCCGTTCCAATCTCATAGGCACCGTTATGTAGATATGTGGGGAAAAACTCACGCCTTGATGTATTCTGCAAAGCCATGTTAGCAAGTGGTTCGTCAAGGTCATAGATATCCATCACATACCCTTGGGGCCAAGGATCCACGCAACACGCCAGCCGGGCAGTCTGAAGCGCTTGGTCAAGCCGTCGATGATAAGAACATCGTCCTCGTCGACATCCTCAACGTTCTCGGCAGCAGAGATGGTACTGCCGTCACAGTTGCTCGTATAGTTGTAGCCAGAGTAGAACTCGTCGCTGACGAAGGTGGCGCGGCCACGGCAGATGTCCTGGATCTCGGCCAGCTCAGGGTTTGCAACGACACGACCGGTGGGGTTGCGGGGGTTCGAGGTCAGAATGACAGAGGAGCCACGGGAGATCTCCTCGGCGATGCGGTCGGGGTGGATGTGATAGCCGTCCTCCTCGGCGAGAGGGACAGGAATGGCGGAGAACTGAGGACCCATTGTCAGCTAGTATGCATTTTTTCATGCTTCAAACTCGGAAATAGGGACGTACGTTCTTGAAGAGAGACAACATCTCGTTGTACGCCGTGTAATCGGGCAAGAAAAAAGAGAGGTAAGAGTTTCCAAGAACGGCAGCGATGCGAATCAGACCGGCGCGACCACCGGGGACGATCGCGACGTTCTCCCAGGTGTACTTGCTGTCCTTGCCCTCACGGTGCATGACGTTGTAGAGGTTGGCAACAGCCTCGCGGAGTTCTCTGATACCGGCAGTAGGACCATACTCGCGACCGGCCATGGAGATATCGATGGTAGTAGGACGGGGAAAGCAGCCAGCAATGTCATCCTCGACTTCGGGGGCACCCTGGCCCAAGTTGGCCCAAGCATCGGGCTCCTCGAGAAAACCGTACTCGGAGGCACGCTCAGTACACCAAACGACACCAGTGGAGGCACGGCTGGCATCGAGACCGGCGTGGGGTTGGTGGCCTTCGTGGGCATTACGGAACTGTCTGTGAGTCTTTGACTGGACCTCTGATGAGATAGGTCAGCATTGTTTTTTTTTTCTCGTGGTGAAGCTATCGTGGCTAATGACGCCGATCGGAAAGCCAAGAATGACATCGAGCTTGAGTTGGAGCTGTGTGGAGAACGAGGGGCAACTCTGCTCAGCTCCTACCCCGCACTCAACACCACAGCTCGACAACAAGCTTTTCTCCCATCCTTTCTGTTGTGCGTATCTGCATAGCTTGGTTGAAGCCATAACAGTTCGAGCATAGATAGGTATCGCTTGGGTAGCCGGAGTGGCATTTGAAGAGAAACGAGGAAAGGGTTGTCTTTCTTACCGTTGCCACCAACCTCGCCGACACTGAAGCGTCTCGGCTTGGGCACACCGGTGTGCCGGTTGATGGAGAACTTGCGATTGCTGAACATATTGCCTTGTTGCACGCAGCCGACAAATGTGTATGGGCTTTGTTGTGGAAGTGACGGTGGGAGATATCAGCAGCTGGGTACTGGAAGCTGCGATTGAAAGGAGGGAAAGAGTTTTATGATCGGTGAAAGAGGTTTCTCCGATTATCACCTGGCTGGGGCAAAATCTGGGGAAGGTGAGGAGGGAAGAGTGCAGGTGCGGGAAGGGTGAAGCTAAAAACAAAAGGGGGAAAAAAAGGGCTCTTCACCTTTTCAAGGTGAGGCAGCGAGGGGCACAAAAAACGTCTTATACGGGGAAGCTATGAACTGGAAGGCTTCTCTTCACCGGCACTTGGGTCCTGACGTTGGCTTGGGAATCCCTGCAGGTCAAGAATGCAGCTCCTATGCAGGCTCTTCCAGATGTGGGGATTTCAGAATACGATAGGGACGCTGATAGGCCAGGAAACCGATTTCTTCCTTCTTGAAGATGAACGTGGGACTGTCACTTGACGAAGTTGGGCGGATGGTCACCGAGTCTCGCAGGGCGACGGGGGTCAAAAACAGGTCCTGAAAGGATAATAGCAGCAAACAGTGTTTGGGCCTACAGCCAGAGCCAGCCTCAGTCTAGTCCGCGCCGAATCCGTGCCGCTTGTGCCGTCTTCAGGCCAAAACCAGATGAGTCCCGGATCGTCGATCTAGCATTGGGGACAGATTCGGTGACGAGCGTGAACGCAGCACAGAGGGGCAGTTCTATGTTTCGCGAGGGCACTTGTTATCGAGAAACGCAACGCCAGCGCGTTTCTGTGCCCGGAAGTTGCCCCTCCTCTGCCCCTCGTTCTCCCTCGCCAACGTCAACGATTCGGGTTGGTACTACCACAGTACGTAAAATAAGCGGTGTCTAGAGTCAGTGTCCTGCTCCAAAGCGGATCTCCGCATCACGGCCTGCCCTGTGCCCAGTTGCGAATGCGATTCGTGCCCAATCACTGCAGGTAGCCGTCTCCCGTCCCGGATTGAGGGCTGCGAGGGCCTAACTTTTGGGGGGAAATCGGCCCTCGCCAGGCCTTCTCCAGAGTCTAGCAAGGGGCAGGATATCTCGATTTATTGTGAATATCAAGTTATCAACGGCGCACAAAGTGGATGTTGCACAGCAGCTATGCGTTGCTGAACGCCCGGCCAAATCATGAAAGATAAGCCTGGCAACCTAGGGCGGGTCCTGAACGTGACTTGCCGGAACATTCAGGGCGCTTGTGTCGTCGTCGTGGGCCGGCGCACCCGATCATCGAATTTGATAATATTCATAGGTCAGAGAGCGATGGATGTCATTGAAGAAGTCAACCAGCAGAATCATTTTGCTCTGACCAACATATTGAGCCACTTCATATGGACGCATGGACATTCAGTCATGGCACATCTGAGGGAGGGCATCACCCAGCATCAATCACCTCGCGAGTCGAGAACGGTAGTGGCAGAAACTCACGAAACCGGCGACGGCGAGTGTATAGTTCGCTGGAACCCGTGTACCGAGACCCTAGCGTCATCTTGACCCCGTTCTTCACGGCCCCTGGAAAAGACGGAAGACGGCCGAAGATGCAGACCGGCCGAAAACAGTCAGCAAAGTCACGTGGTTGTTCGTCTTCTCTTTCCCCGCCAAGCCACGATGCGATCCCAGAAACCCGGGTAGACAAATTATAATGCTTCATGTTTGGAATTATTCAGATCTGACCTAGGCATCCAGGGACTCAGTTCCTCCATATTTCCAAAGGGGCGAACCACGTGTTGTCTATCAGGCGCACTATCCTCAAGCCCGAGTACTGACTAGAAGGCGGAGGCATGGCGGTGCAAAAAAGCCTATGTGGCTGCGGCGAGCCCCTCTGGCCAATCAGATTGCGTTTGTGACTTCACCCAATAAGCCCCCTCCGCAGTCACGAGAGCAATGCCCCGGAGGCTCAAAGATCATAATCTCAGAGAGAAACTAGTCAAAGCGATAATTCAACTTCTGACTGAGGCGGAATGACCAGGCAGAATACTTTGTCAAGGCTCTGGGAGCTTTGATGAAAAGCAATGAGTAGAATCAATATAAGATGACTGGTTTGAAATAACTCAGCATACCCTTGAAACTCAACCCATTCACGACAACAAGAACAACAACAACAAAGACTTGAGCAGTATCAACTCACCTGGCATCTCGAGATCACACCTTTGTGGCCCATAATATTAATTGAATAGCATATTCCATAAAATCAAACTTTTGGGGCTTTCAGTTTTACCGCAAACTTTCCTTCGAGAGAGAACAGAGAACAACCACATCGCCTTCCCCGACGGCTCCTGCCCCACTTTGACACTAATATCAACTTCACTGCGGCAGCAGCAGTCCTCCTTCACAATGCCTTACCTCGGCGATTCTTTCCCCTCCACAAATACCCACTCCGCCAGCGAGAAGCCCGACATCAGCATGTCTATCTTTGGGGCCTTCAAGCAAAAGCTTGGCCGCAAGTCATCATCTTCTCGCAAGTCTAAGCAGGCATCCCAGTCGAACATGTCGACACCCGACAGCAATAATCCCTTTTCAAGCTCTGCAGTCAAACCCGCCCATCGTGAGTCTTTACCCAACATCATCGTTACTCCTCCGTCTCCGACCAAGAGCGCTAATCAGCCTTCAGCTCCCGACCATGCTCCTCCAGCTTACTCGGTAACACCACCCTCTCCGTCGGAGAATGGCTACCTGGGAAGCAATGGCGGACCTGTTAGAAGCCCCTCGCCCGCCCCATCCAACGCTGGCTCCATCATGTCAAGCACCGGCATGAGCGTTTCGACGCCAGAGGACCCCTACGCATTCCTTTCCTCGTTCGACACCATCTTCGTTATTGACGATTCGGGGTCCATGTCCGGCCGCTCGTGGCCCGAGGTCCAGGGTGTAATCCGCAACATCGCTCCGATCTGCACGTCACATGACGAGGACGGCGTTGACCTCTACTTCCTCAACCACAAGACCCAAGCAGGTGGAAATCCTCGTGAGGGTAAAGCTGCGGGTGGCTACTACGGCATCCGTCGTGCCGACACGGTCGAGGGCATTTTCACGTCGGTTCGTCCTCGCGGTTGCACGCCTACGGGCCAGCGCCTCCTCGCCATTCTCAAGCCTTATCTTCAGCTCCTCGAGACCAAGAAAAACGACATCGAGAGCGTCAAGCCCATCAACCTCATTGTCATCACCGACGGCGCCCCCTCCGATGACGTCGAGGCCACTATCCTCTACACAGCCAAAAAGCTCGACAAGCTCGACGCTCCCATGCACCAGGTCGGCGTGCAATTCTTCCAGGTTGGCAATGAGCCTGGTGCTCGCGAGGCGCTCCGAGAGCTCGACGACGACCTCGTGGGTAGATGTGACGGTGATCTTCGAGACATGGTCGACACTGTTACTTGGGAGACCGGTACCCGTGGCGTGCTCACGGCAGACAATATCCTCAAGGTCGTTCTCGGCGCGGTGGTCAGACGTCTCGATCGTCGTCGTACAAGTGGCGAAAGCCGTCGCTGAGAATGGCCAGCTGCATGCTTTTCTCTCCTTTGTTAGTGATTTCGGGCACAAATGGCGTTTGGGAGGATAGAATCAGTTTACAGGCCCTCTCAAGAGGGCTGTTGATGGCTCAAGCCAATACCTGATACCCAACGGAAGGCTTTCTGAATTAGATGTCTATTAGAGGCGGGCCATTAGTTGCCTTAGACGAAGGTGGTATGGCTCACGCCATCGGACGAGGTTTATGTACCACCTTCCCCATCAGTGAAAAATAAAGTAATAGACATAAACAAAATGTTTCCTTTCAATGAGACGTAGCCAAATTGCAATATTGGTCCGTGTGCGTGGGGGGATATGATCAATTTACGATGTATAGGTCGGTACGCCCGCAAGTGTATAACAAAATAGCACGCGGCTGATATATCCTCACTCATATTCTTTCTCGCCGTATTTCACGCAAAATAAATGCTTGGAGAAATGCCAGTTGATATGAGATAGTGCAGTAACAGCGACAGAGAGAAAGGATGCGTAGAGCGTTCGATGTTCTTAGCATGCAATTCGGTAGTTTGGACTGTTGAAATGATCAAACGGGACAAAAGAGAAGGAAGAAAGTCGACCGGGTCTGGAAATTACTAGCAGATACTTTTGGCAACTCCAACGCCAAGCGGGGGACCCACTTCACTCTCACTTTGAACATCGTCAATAAACTCACCACGACTCACCAACAAACCCTCTCAGATTCCGAACCCCCCCAACCTCGGTTTCCCAAGGCTCATACCCTCGCTGCAATTACCATACCAGAAAGGAAACCATTTACGCAAGACATTACCCAAATGAGACCACCGCTCGGCTACATCCCACGTCTGTACGCGCCTCTCCGACTCTCAACCCGCCAATCATTCGGACCGTCACCCGCGCTGACCGCCGCCGCCACCGCGACAAGGTCGACGAGGAGGTTGACGTTCAAAAGCAGGATGAGCACATCATCGGGCCCTCAGTCGACGACAATGTGGCCAGCTGCAGGACAAGGTGAAGGTGAAGAAGAGAGGAGCTTGAATGGGAGTGGTACCGGTAGCCACCGAGAGCACCACCCCACGGAAAGCACGTCACCGGCCCCTAAAAAAACGACATCAAACGCCCCCGCGGAGGCCAGTCCCAACACCAGTGGCGCCGACTCTAGCCAGTGCCAGCCTCACTCCCAGGGCGACGATCAGGGCCTCGCTGGTGCTCAGCGACGGGATGGACCCCTGGCTTTGCCGCCGCTGCCCGAGGGCCACGAGACGTCGTCTGCTGCTGGCGGGACCTCCGCGGGAGGAAGAGGAGGAGGAGACAACAACAACAACAACAACAACAACAACAACGGCGTCAGCAGCAGAAGCAGCAGCAGCAGCAGCAGCAGCAGCAGCGGAAGCAACACCATCACGCTCGACATGAGCAGAGGCGACGCCTCGACCAAGCTGGACCATCTGGGCCCCCTGGTCGTCAACCAGGACGGCACCATGTCGCGAATCAGCAACTGGGGCGAGATGACGGAAATTGAGAGGCGTAACACGGTGAGGATCTTGAGTAAGAGGAACCAGCTTCGTCTTGCTGGTCTCAGGGGGGAGAAGGAGAAGAACGGGGCCGAGGCTGGAAAGTAAGGATTGGGAAGAGAAAAAAAAACTCACCTTAGAGACACTCCCCCCTTTTTTCCCGTCTCTTCACTCACATCCATCACGAAGTACCTCTCGGTGAGACTCATTTCATTCGGAGAGACTCGTGAGGACAGCCTAGAAAGAGTTTGTCAAAGATATTGTATGATTAAGTGGATGTACTATGGCAGTTCCCAATAGCAAGAGGACCCCCCATCCCCCATCCCTCCACCTCTTCACTCCGTCAGAGTATCGACGAGGGTTCGGATGGTAAGGCCGAGTAGTTGCGTAAAACTACTGCACAGTTACCAGCACCAAAGAAATGAATCGTCTCCATTCAACCAAAAAGTCTGCATCCCGTCTTGTCTTACCGTGCCGTCCTTCTCTTCCAACCCGGTCTTGAGCCCACCCGCGCCGCGCCCGCCCCTTGGGCCTAGACAGACAGGATTTTTCCGTTTCGCCATCGTCCGCCCTCGCCCTGTCCTATCCCACGCCGTATAATCCGTCTTACTCTCCCAACTCAGCCCACCACATTCCGGAGAGGGCATGTCGTTATGGATTAGCGGGTTCTGAGTTTTTCATCGTTCTCCGGAGACTGGAGTCTAGAGTCCGATCCATGGGACTGATGGGGGCCCCCGTACCTGTAACAGACCACGAAATGTTCGGGTCCCCGTTCCAGCCTACCTACTAAACCTCCCATGGGCGAGACATGGCGCTACGTACCTCCTCGAGACTGACTCTGGGCCATGGACGGGGCCCGCGAGTTTGTGGCGGCTTGGCCATCAGTTCTTGCCATTTTCTTGTCAATGGGGCATGCCGGCGGTGTAGTGGAGAGCGCGGGGGTCATCAGTGAACACGAACGTAGAGCCGAGCAGCGGCTCTTTCTCCCCCGGTCCGTCCATGGGCACAAGAGCAGGTGAGGCCGGGGGGATGCCTGTGTAGGCTTGGGGGTAGTTGAACTCTACCTGATGGGGACCGCGGGAGCACGCCTTCGAGTTGCGGGATGTTGAGACCTTCCAACCTGACTTCATTCCTGAGCACACGCGCTTGGGGGAACAAGGGCTTTAAGGAGTTCTGGTTGAACAAAAAGTAGTTTAGAGTTGACTTTAGTCAATAGCCTTAGGGTTGATAAACCCATCCGTATAATTCATTGCTGTGATATACTCTATCACGTCCCAGATCATGAGTTCGTGCAGGTATACATACATGTAAAAGTCTCATCACATGTTGCCAATCAGTAAAAACAAGCCGCTCAATAGTACCGCCCGTTCATCTCCCCTCTAACCTCCCTATCTCGACTCCCATCCCACATCATGTCTCTTCGTCCCTCCACGGTATCAAACTCCATTTGGTGCCAGAATAAACCCAATGTCTTGAACATGAAACGCATTGCATACAGACGTCAGTCGGAGAGAGTGTAATGCCTCCTCCGAGCATTGACCAAGTTTCCCATTTCTACTTTGCCTCCTCAGCCTTCAGAGAGTCCGAAGATGTGGCCGTCGTCTTGGTTTGCTTGTTCTGGAATTCCTTGAGCATAGATGCAATGTCCTCGCTACCCTCGTTCTTCTCCATGACGAGGTTCTTGAGCCAGCGGTTCTCAGTTTCGAGAAGGTTGATGCGCTGCTCCAAAGCTGAGACCTTGTCCGACATCTCCTTGGCGCTCTTCTCGAGAGCCTGCTCACGCTGCTTCTTCTTGATGCGGAACCTGGCGCTGGCGGCGGTGTTTCTCCTGCGCTTATCCTCCTCTGCGGCAACGCGAGACTGCTCCTCGAAGCTATGGCCGGGCCTGCTGACTCCGTTCAAAGACTCAGGAGTTCTGGTCTCGGCGGCGGAAGGCGTGGGAGCGGCATAGTGGTGGTTGTGCTGCTGAGATACAGGAGGCGGTGCGTAGGTGGGTTGCGGGTTAGGCTGGAGAGGTTGAAGGTTACCCAGGCCTTCAGCGAAGGGCGGGACGCCCGAGGCAGGGTAGGGGTTGGTGAAATCGTGAAAGTTGAATTCGCCTGTCATTGTTCATGGTCAGATGGATGATTCAAAGCAGGAGTTATCAGTTCCTGGCATCGTGGCGTCGGCGAGACGGTGGAATGAGGGGAAAGACGGGGCGGATAGCGCTTGATCGAAAGAACAACCGCATCGACGAGTCTAAATGTTGGAGATACAAGACCATCATCCATAGCACTTGCTTAATCGGTGTCGGATGGCGGCTGCCCAGATGGTCGAAGCATCCCTGCTAGGATGAATGACGAAAAGTCACGGGATATTGCACCATCCCCCGGCAATTTGTAAGCTCCAATCTGGAGTCGCGGCTCTCCCTCAACACCGCAAGCCGGCAACCTGCATAAGAGCAGGCAGCTTCTCCCAATCAAGACATCCGAATGAAACATGGACTGCGCATGAACAGGGTGGGGTAAGAAAGGACAGGTTCGAAAGGCTGGTGATAAGGCGGTCGCATGCGCTTGGCTGCGACCCTGGGAGAAAGTTGAGCTGATCGCTGATGAGAACTGTAGGTTAAAGTTCAGAGGAGCCACTTGACTCATGTTTGCACGATGTGAATCGTCATCGGTTTCCCATTCGCCCGATACGCAAGTGAGTGTGCCCATAGTTGTCTGTAACGTGGCAGATGGTTGAAGGGAAAAGTGAGGTGTGAGTGATGAGTATGGTGTGAGTGATGAGTATGGTGATGAGGAGTGAGAGTGACGATGTGATGTGACTGGGTCGTGACTTTTGGTGTACAACCATAAATCCATACCAACTCCCAAATAGGCCCAAATACCTCAACATGAACAAAAAAAGGGATGAAATACACTAATTCCAAGTAAAAAAGAAGAAGGCATCTTCTTACCTGGCAGGGAAAAGTCGACGTTGCCAAAGTCGCCAATGGGAGAGGTCAATTCTTCGGTGACAGCGGTGGATGGAGCCTGGGGCTCAGCGGCGGTAGCTGCCTCGGCCTTCTTGGGCGGTGCCTGGTAGTCGGTGTGCTGGCCAGTCTCGAAGTCGAAAAATTGGGTGTTTGTGAACATGGCGAGATCGTCCTCGAAGGTGAAGTTCTCCTCGGCGGAACCGGGCTCCTTGACGGTGTTCAAGTCACGCAGGTAGCGAGACACATTGGGCGCGCGCCCTCCTCCAGTGCTTGTGTAAGGCGACATGTCGCTCGGCCGGTGAAGGCTCTCGGGTACGAAGCCGGCGGTGTTGGAACCAAAGAACAGAGAGGCAGAAGAGCAAAAAGGCTCCTTCAAATCGACTCCAGGACGAGGGTGTCGATTTGTTTTGTGGTTGTAAAAGACTGGGTCCCTGAGATCGAGTCGAGGACGGCGGCGATGGCGTTAAGTGGGTTGGTGTTGAGGCCGCGTTGGTTGTAAAGCCCCCAACGTAGTTGATTGAATGCGCGCGGTTCGAGGACCGGGATCGATTCCAACTTTTGCTCGGCAGTGAAGTCGGCGACGATGGAGGGGCAAATTTGGCGTCGAATCGGGTAGATGCAAGACGAGACCTGGCGATGGTCGGTTGAGGTCGAACGTGTCGGTCGGACGTTCTCCTGAACGGCTGTCTGTCTGTCTGGGTTGTCGAGTGCGAGGTTTGTCTCGGTCTCTGGCTGGACTGCTGGGTGGTTCAGGGAGGAGTGGATGGGATGGGGGAAGAGGAGTCAAATTGGGCGAGAATGAAGCCTTTGTTCGGAGAGGCAGGTTGCGGACACAGGCCGAGTGGATAGTATTAGTCAACTTCTTTACCCGACAGCGCGACTTTCAGTGCCCCCGAGGGAGGGGCCCCCCAAGGGCCCCAATGCCCCAAGGGTGTGCTCCGCGCTGCTGGTTGGCTCCGACCATTGGCCGACGGCCTTGTTCATTTCCCCTGCAAGAGGGTACGCCGCACCCCACGCATCTGCGTATGTTATGTACCGCTGTAGGCTGGTCCAGCAGCAGAAGTCTCGTCTTGGAGATACTTCCATCGACTTGACTTCTTGGGGACTGAGACTCGAGTGAGTGGCCAGGCATATGCTAGCCATCCAGGCCTGGAACCTCCACCCATACACGACGCTTAATTACGCCCACGTCCTCTCCCACCACTTCCACTGAGTCTCGCACGCAAGAGGTAAACATTACACCGGAATCATCAGCACCTCACCCATTCCCATGTGCAGAATACCGCCGGCGCCTCGCTATTTTTGCCTTGGTCCGAAGGTTCCCGGTACCGCAAGGGCAACGAGAGCCCCCCACTCGCCGATGAACGGGGACGTGCCCCATCTGACGTCCCATCCTCCAATCATCTATGAGATGCCCAGTCGACCTGTGCTAAGCTTCTACATTGTACTGGTAATGGCACCACAGCCAAGTCACAGCAATAGGACATTCCGAACTGCCGTATCCTCATAACCTGCCTTCTTTCCGAGCACGCCCTTTCCAACTCCCGGAACCATGACCGGGAAGCATGAGCGCTCGATCTTGACCCCCTCTCCACAGTCCACACTCTACTGCTGTTGATGTACGCATCCACCCGTCATCACTCACCCATGGCTGGCGAACGAATCATCGCTTGGTCAATCTTCTGAGAGCCCCGCGGCAATTGCGCATCTCTGGCCTGACAGTGTTCCGACGCCCCTCGTTTTCGGGCTGTTGGCAATTGACGTCTTCAAGTCGCATTTTTAGCTGATCGACGTTTGTCTTGGTTTTTTATTCCATGTCGCTGTACGGAGTATCGGTATTACCTAGGCATTCAATCTCCATGTGGGAGAAGAAAATTCTGACGCTGTCAATCAATGTGGCCTCTCTTGGATTGAGTTCCAGATACATTCCACTGACGAAACGTTATTACACAGATTCTAAGTTTTGTGTGCACACATGAGTCCACTTACGCTGTGGCTTGCATCGCTCGTGGAAGATTATTAATGCTTCGGTACTAAACACCGGCGGTAAATGCAATACCCGCGCTATGGTCACAAAAACAATCGACAGAAATCCCAATTGCCCAAATCCCGACTCCCAACCACGTTGTTCGTTGCTGACGATGAGAATCCG